GAAACAGTTGTTCTCCAGCAGTACCACTAGTTTTCATAGCTCATATAGTTTAATACCTATTAAAACTGCTCAGCTAGGTTGTACAGGTTTAATATCAGTAAAACTGAAGGTGAGCATTACACACTTGGTGATTTACAAATGTCCATCACTGTGATATCACTTGTTTTACTCAAAAAGGTACAAAATTACGTAAGCTACGTTGCTTGAGCAGTGTCCCTGAGTTCTCATTTTACACGTAAAACAGATCAGTACTTCTGATGTGAGTTTGTGGAAGCACAAAAATAAATAATGAACTTTGATCAAGAGTTTACCACGTGGGTCTCTGGAAGAACAAGAATAGCAGTATTTTACGCATTTCAACTATTTCACATTTAAAGCAAGATTAATCTCTTCACTCTTAACTGCAGGATTTGTAGTGTAGTGATGGATTTAATGATATGGTCATGTAAGCTATTGAAATGATTGCTTTTCTAATTAGAAGTGGTCACCCAAAGTCAATGGCTCAGTCATGTAACAGGAAGTATCACGGGATGGTTGCCAACTTCTTCCCTTCAGATGAGTTTTCTGTCTGGAAGGACTTGGAATCCCTTTCAGTCATGTAGACTAGACCTGGACACCCGTCAGAAGCACACTCACTGATACCACTGAGAATACAGCAGGACTTTCCAAAGGAAGGAAGGGGCAGTGAATCACTGCAAACAAGGGAAAAAAAATCCCAAAGGGAAAGACTGGTTATGTTAATGTGGGTCATGGACTACTTGTATTGTACACTAAATAGACCCCCAATGGAAACAAGACTGAACCTGGCAATGTAAATAAGATAAAAGATATGAATATTCACAATATTCACACAGGTTATCTAAGGTGAACTGAAAGCTTCCAATAGCAAAATACAGAGCCATAAAGACTGTTGGAAAGGAAATTAAGTGCACATGCACTCGAAGCAAGTGATATGAAGAATGAAACTACACCAAGGAACAGGGTCTAAAATTTACATCAAAGGAAAGGAGGAAATGCACCATGACAGAATTGCCTAAGAAAAATGTGATTGAAACAACTGGAGGTAAATAATGTTCCTGTCTAAAAAGGGGCTTTGTACAATTATTCTGAAGAGAAGCCACAGTGCCACTAAGTAGAGCTAGTTGTTTTCTTCCTAATTCTTCATTCATTGACCCTATCCTCATGCTGCATAATGAGGTGAACTAATACTAGTGAACAAAAATATCATGACAACTGGCAGTCTTACACTTCAGTGATTGTAAGAAAGCATTTACCAGCAGATGCTGTTATAGCAAGACACTGAAAATGTACAGATTTCTTTGTAAAATCATTTAAATTTTCCAAAATATTTCTCAGTACACCAGTGATTAAAGGATTGCTTTGATGTCATTGCCAGCATAGGTGAAGGTACATCATCTCCCTGCAATGTCTTATGTTGCTGTGTGACAAATATCTGGCACGGAGACTGGAGTCCCAGGGGTGTTTGGCAGTCTTGGTTTGCTCAGGATATCTATTCATCAGCAGATGAGATACAACAAAAGACAGCTTAGTCAGAACAACAAAACTATAAGGTCTTATAATCAACAGGTCAAGAAACAATGGCTATAAAAATAAATATGACCTTACGTGGCACCTCTGTTCTAGAAGGAGCAACTGCAAGCATTGTTGTCACATTTATTTACCCAGGCAGTACATCTCACATTCCCTGTGACTCTGTTTGTGGTGCTAGGCTCAGATGGGCAAGGGAAGGATACACAGTCTGACATAAATAACGTCTTCACTAAATTGTGGATCAGGGAGAAGCAATAGGTTTACCAAGTACTGTTTAAGCAACTTTCAGTTGGAGATCTGTATCAGATGTCCATAAGGAAATTATGAGACAATGATCAGTGACAATGTGAGGCCACCAAGAAGGTAGACTATGTTGGTCATATCCTGACAATACTGAATATCAGACTTAGTGACCCAAGGGGCAGAGGAGAAGATGTTGACTTGGTGACTTGAGGAATGATTCTGCATGATGTGAAGGACTGAAGAAGTGGCCTTGCAGGTTAGCAGATGGATCACATTAAAAGTATTGCTCTACAATAGGATTAGTTAGGGGCAAATGACCTCTGCCTTATGTCCCACCATGTGAGGGGTGGATTCCTTTAGAGCACCCTTTTATGCTGAATTTTTCTTTGTATATAAACCAGGCATATAGTCTCCCCACACTGTCAAGACAATGGCTATATTCATGCTGTCTACTGTAAGCAGCCTGGAGTTTCCTCCCATGACCAGTTTTCCCTACTTTTACACATTACAAGCCTATAAACCTGCTAAAGGTTGCTTTGGACATCTCACTTCCAGCATAACCATGTGTGGTGGGTTGACCTTGGCTGGACACCAGGTGCCCACCAAGCTGGTCTATTACTCCCCTCCTTAGCTGGACTGGGGGACAAAAAGTATGATGAAAGGCTTATAGGTGGAGATAAGGACAGGGAGATCACCCAGCAAATACAGGTCAAAGAGACTGGGCTTGGAGAAATGAAATTAATTTATCACCAATCAATTCCGAGTAGGCTAATAAGAAATAAAAACAAATAAAACACCTTCCCCCCACCCCTTCCTTCTTCCCAGGCCCAACTTCATTCCCGATTTCTCTACCTTCACTCACCCAAGTGGCACAGGGGAATGTGGAATGGGAGTTGTAGTCAGATCATCACATGTTGTCTCTGCCACTCCTTTCTCCTTATATTCTTCCCTTTCCAGTCCTCCATGAATCTCTTCAACGTGAGTCTTTCCCTTGGGCTGCAGTTCTTCACAAACTGCTCCAGTGCAGGTCTCTTTCACTGGGTGCAGTCCTTCAGCAACAGTCTGCTCCGGTGTGGGTCCCTTCTTTGGGATAGAGACCTTCAAGAAGAGACTGCTCCAGCCTGGGTCCCCCATGGGGTCACAAGTTCTGCAGCAAACCTGCTCCCAGGAGGGCTCCTCTCTCCATGGGCCACAGCTCCTGCCAGGAGCCTGCTCCAGCACGGGTCACAGACTCCTTTGGGCATCCCCCTGCTCTGGTGTGGGGTTCTCTATGGGCTGCAGGAGGAGATCTGCTCCATCATGGAACTTTATGGACTGCAGGGGGGCCAGCTTGCCTCACCATGGTCTTAGGAGAATCTTTACTCCAGTGCCTGAAGCACCTCCCCCTCTTCTTCTTCACCACAGTTGTTTCTCTCAGATATTCTCACTCCTCTCTTCCAGCTGCTATTGTGCAGCAATTTCCCCCCCCCCCCCCCCCAAATACCTAGTCCCAGAGGCGCTACTACCACCACTGATGGGTTCAGTTTTGTCCAGCAGTGGGTGTATCTTGTAGCTGGCTGGCATTGTCTCTATCAGACATGGGGGAAGCTTCTAGCAGCTTCTCACAAAAGCTACCAGCGCATGCCCCCACTGCCAAAACCTTGCCATGCAAACCCAATGCACTGTGTGCTTACTAGAAAAGATTTTCAGGTACAATTCATTCAACCAGGGTTTTGGTTTCTATTGAATGTGCCAAGAAATTCACAACACATCACCAACTTTGACAGTTGATAGTACCTTTTGTGACCACCCCTTACAGGAACAGGATTTAAAATATTCGTTTCTTTCCAGTTACACACTGATTTGGATTGCATTTAAAACAGGGAGGAGACTTAAGTATGGTTTTCCTATGTAATGCAAATCATCCTTTTAGATGGGTTTTAGAAACATGAAACATTTATTCCTCAAATTTATCAAGGAACTGACATCTCTTAGTACTGTAACCCAGTAAAGTCCATTTCCAACAAGAAAGAGAGCTTTTTCTTAACTCAGCAAATATTTGCATTGAATTGTGTTAAGAGTATTTATCAGCCAGGGATGCAGTCATAGGGCAGTAATAATTACACCAAGAGGTTTTGCAAGTTCCAACATGGCTGTTTACGTGCCTGTTTTCAAAAATAAATACCTGCTAAAGGTGTGTGCATGCTGAGGTATTTGTCCCTTCACCTCTCAAGGCTTACTAATGTATATATTCCATAGCTACATTGAAGATCGTAGGCAATTACTGGAGAGCACATCACTCAAATCTCTTTCACAACTCAATAAATACATATCTAAAGACAAAAGGAATTAAAACAGATGGTGTTAGGAAGATAGAAGAAATTAATCTTCTCTCGTTTTATCTTGAATCTGAAAGTACATTCTTCACTAAAGGTTTTTAACAACCATGGAGAGAAAAAAGCATATTTCAGACGAAGAACAAAGACAACATAATTGTTTAATAAAGAGGCATGGACTGGCCAATTTTTTTTAATCCCTCCCATAAAACTTAGACTTTTGGGGATATTTTTCTGTTTCTGACTACTTTTGACCCTGAGGGGGTTTATGGCCCCGACAGCAGGGAGAGCAAGAGCAGGCTGCAGCCACCTCACCCTAAGTTTTGTTCATGGTGGCTCACCCCAAATGTGTCCTGTGAGTGTTTGGGGGCAATCCTTTTTGGAGGACAAAGGGCTTGTTTCAAGCCAGATGAGTTCCCTGAGCCAGTTTATTGCCTGGCCACACAACTGTGTGTGCTGGCAGAAGGGAAGGATCAGAGGAGAGGTGGCATATGTGTGGGAGCTGGGGGAATGGGACTTGATCTGCACCAGGATCTGAGCTGGCTTAACATGACCATGGAACAAGAGTATAACCTGGTGTTAAGGCACTGGAGTAACTGTAATTAAAGGTTTCTGTTTTCATTATAGATCTGGTTTGTCACTGAACTCGAGCTTGAACTGAACAAGCATACAGAAGCCATTGTTTAGATGTCCAGCTCCATCCAGCTTCAGAGTTAAATCTCAGATCTGGACCAGGGGTTCATTGTCCCAAGCTTTGTTACCCTGAGTTCAGTGTGTTCTTGCACTTCACCTTTCAGATATCTATTTTTTTCACTAACAGGACAGGTAGTTCAATGCAACACAGTGGCCACCCCAAGAGGAAACACTTGACATTCACACCTCCTCCTCCAGCTTCCTGGCTCTCTTTGCCCTTTGAGCCATGAAAGCAACTAAACTTCATCACAGCAGAATTTGCCCAGAAGGAACACGATGGGACAAGAGGCTCTGACAGATGTGGCCTATTAGGCTACTACCTCCCTTTCCTCCTCACCTTCTCTGGGAACCCACTGGCACAAGCTGTTTCTATTATCACCAACTGGCCCTTTTTCGCACATGGGAAGGAATTCAGCAGTAGCTTTGTATGCTTGTTTTTAGACTGTAGCCCCATCCACATTTACTTTTAGAGACTTCTGAATTCAATTTACATGTATAATGCACAGTTAATTACAGGTTAAATTAAGCACACAAAAATCAAGATTTGATGATCTGTTTTATCAAATCAGGCCGTGTAAGATTAACAGCTATTATAAAATAAATGGAATATGTAGATAACTCTTACCATTTCAGTGGCTCATTTACAGAGCCATTAATTCTCTGGGTTGCAGTGAACATATCAATGAGGACCAAGTTGCTCATGCTATAAATATATTTCCATCCTTTGTCTTCTTTTCCACCAGGCTGCTGCCTAAGCACACCAAACCCTGAAATTTCCTATGGTTTAATTGCAATCTAGTATTTTATACCTTAAGCTTTATGTCTTTTCTCTTTCTTACCTAAGTACAAGCTTTTAGAAACAGTCTTTGCTAGGAATAATGAATTTTACTAGCAATATGCATCTTGCTATAATGTCAGGGTCTGTCTTTTCCGTCCCTTAGGCAGAATAACAGCAAAATTAGAAGAGGGTGATGCAATATCCCATCCTGTGTAAGACTTCAGAAGAACTTGGTGGTCAGCCCTTTTCCATGAAACCCTGTCAGGCTGTTGTTCAGAGCACTCTGAGGTTTAGGGTTCAGGTCTTACATGCAGAAACGGGGCTTATGTGTGAGTTTTCTACTGCACAGATACCACTGCCCGTAGAGTGCTACATAAACTGTGGATTTCTTTTCTCTGATAGGCTTCAGGATCCACCATCTAGCCAAAACTACTTGATGCATTTTCCTCAGCTATAAAAATAGTTTGGGATTAACTAAAACAACATTTGGAGGCAAATTTGCTGTAAAAATAAAAACTAGCAATTTAGCCAGCTGCAGCTGTAAATGTCCTGTGTTCTGCATGCCACGCTTAGTGAGGCATCTGTGGGGAAACAAGGATGTTTTCTAGGAGTGAAGTTAATTATTCAGTAGCAGTTCTCACAGTGATCAGAAAGAAAGGTGTACACTATTGATTTATTGTAATACAAAAGAGCTGTTCTTTGAGGTACTGGTCAAGCTAAACAGAAAATCGAATTAAGTATGGGCTTCAATAGTACACACAGGCTTCTGCTGAGACTGAAGCAGATTATTCCCAAACAGAAGCAGAGTCCACCAAGAGAAATTACTTGATTAAAAACAACCTCCATGTTGCTTGATTCGGTATTCAGTATCTTTAACTTTGGATTAAGAAAGCAACATTCTCTGGGAGGATAAAAACCGAGCTGTATTTGAGTGGTTCTTTACATGAAATAAGCATAGCTATAACAGTGAAGATAAAGAAAAGAAAGACAAAAGCAGGATTTCCATCATCTTTGGTAAGTTGTGGGAAACAGGAGAGGTGCCTGAGGACTGGAGGATGGCAAATGTCACGCCAGTCTATAAGAAAGGCAAGAAGGAGGACCCAGGTAACTATAGACTGGTCAGCCTTACCTCCATCCCTGGAAAGGTGATGGAACAACTTATTCTTGACATCATCCGTAGACATATCAAAGATGAGGTGGTCAATAAGAGCAGCCAACATGGTTTTACCAGGGGGAAGTCATGTTTGATCAACCTTATAGCCTTCTGTGAGGAAGTAACTAGGTGGATGGATGATGGTAGAGCAGTAGATGTGGTTTTTCTTGATTTCAGTAGGGCATTTGATACTGTCTCCCACAGCATCCTCATAGATAAGCTAAGGAAGTGTGGGCTTGATGATCAGGTAGTGAGGTGGATCAAGAACTGGTTGAAAGGAAGAAGGCAGAGAGTTGTGGTCAGTGGGGCAGAATCTAGCTGGAGGTCTGTGACTAGTGGAGTACCTCAGGGGTCAGTGCTGGGACCAGTGCTGTTTAATATTTTCATCAACGACCTGGATGAGGGAACTGAGTGTACCCTCAGCAAGTTTGCTGATGATACTAAACTGGGAGGAGTGGCTGACACACCAGAAGGCTGTGCTGCCATTCAGCGAGACCTGGACAGGCTGGAGAGTTGGGCGGGGAGAAACTTGATGAAATTCAACAAGGGCAAGTGTAGAGTCTTGCATCTGGGGAAGAACAACCCCATGTACCAGTACAGGTTGGGGGCTGACCTGCTGGAAAGTAGTGAAGGGGAAAGGGACCTGGGGGTCCTGGTGGATAGGAGGATGACCATGAGCCGGCAATGTGTCCTTGTGGCCAAGAAGGCCAGTGGCATCCTAGGGTGCATTAGAAAGGGTGTGATTAGTAGGTCAAGAGAGGTTCTCCTCCCCCTCTAATCTGCCTTGGTGAGGCCGCATCTGGAATATTGTGTCCAGTTCTGGGCCCCTCAGTTCAAGAAGGACAGGGAATTGCTTGAAAGAGTCCAGTGCAGAGCCACAAAGATGATTAAGGGAGCGGAACATCTCCTTATGAGGAGAGGCTGAGGGAGCTGGGTCTCTTTAGCTTGGAGAAGAGGAGACTGAGGGGTGACCTCATCAATGTTTACAACTATGTAAAGGGTGAGTGTCAGGATGATGGAGCTAGGTTTTTTTCAGTGATGTCCAGTGATAGGACAAGGGGCAGCGGGTGTAAACTGGAGCATAGGAGGTTCCATGTGAACATCAGGAAAAAATTCTTTACTGTGAGAGTGACAGAGCACTGGAACAGGTTGCCCAGGGGGGTTGTGGAGTCTCCTACGTTGGAGATATTCAAGGCCTGCCTGGACAAGTTCCTGTGTGATGTACTCTAGGTTACCCTGCTCTTGCAGGGGGGTTAGACTAGATGATCTTTTGAGGTCCCTTCCAACCCTTGGGATTCTGGGATTCTGTGAAAGGCTCTTATTCGTGTTAATATTATTTATTTGCTTTGTGTCCATGCCTAACAGCACCCATCATGAAGCAATACCCTGTTACGTGAGGCACGGTGCAATCACAAAACGAAGGGGCAGGGTGTGCTCCAAGTGGTCCACCATTTAAATATAGCACTGCAGACAACAGGCAAGTATTGACTAATGGAGGAACACAAGGACAAGCAGTCCTGAACAACTTCTGCCCAATGTGGCTGCTACCAGAGGATAGTTTCCAGCTGGACTTACGTAAGCGCTTTTGAGGTGTTCTCCTCAGCAGTGAGAGCCAGGGGCTCTCAAAAGCGTTTGCTGGAAGATGTGACAAGAGGATGGTGGATGGTGGACATCTTCCAGGCCAGATGGAAGATAAGAAGCCCTTGAGGAAGGGCTTGTGAGTGAAGAAAAGGTTTATGGAACAGAAGAAGGGGGCAATAGAGAGGTGCTAGAAACATGGATGAGAGAGCTGGAAAAGTATTTCCTTGCTTCTGGGTGATGATCGGAGGGCTCTCCCAGTTCAGACAGGACATAGAGCCCTTTCCTCAGATGAATGAACACACGCTTTCTCAGGAGAATCAACAAATAAGCATGACACAACACTTACTGTGAGTTGAGTCAATGGGACTCCTGCTTCGAATCCCTCAGCATCCAGTAGAAAATTGAAATTGTCCAGCCCCTTGAGCCAGGCAGGAAGGAGCACACCAACCAGCCCAGATCACCTGGAGGTAAAGCTAAGGGTCAAACCAAGGAGAGGAGAGAAGGATTTACAGGAAGCAGAAATGAGTCAAAGCACCACTCCCCAGCACAACTTAGCTATTTTCTATCACTTCAAGCTCAGCAAAAACACAGGATTTGCCTACAGTTTCACCAGGATTTTCTTTTCTTCAGATAGAATGATTTTTTAAACAGGCCAAAACATGCAAAAATTAAACATCAGCACAATTAAGGACAACTGAAACAGAGTTCTCAAAACTATTCCTGGAGAATATTACAGTCCTTTGTAATACTGAAAAAAAATGGGTTGCTTCAAACATTTCCCCATCATCCCAGGACAGTATTACTTGTTGCAATTACCACCCACCTTAACAATTTGCTTCCTTTAACTAACCAGGTTCATTGGTTCCTGCTTACAACAGTGCTTTTGACACCATCTGAGTGCCTCCAGCCCCCTAAGGCCCCCAGCCCAAAGCCAAGTCTCTGCCAAGTCCTGTAGTTGGCAACATGAGGAGGCAACTCAGGTGTTAGTCAGAGTGAATCACGCACCAGAAATGCTCCTCTCTCTCAGTTGACTATGCATGGAGCTGAGTAGGCCTGCCACTTAAATCTGGGCTTAAATGTCTAACATGAGATGAAAATAGGCATCTGTAAGACTCTCATCTTGTAATAGCTTCTTTTTTACCCTTCCCCTTGTTTCTAAACTTGTAGAGCACACTTTTGTTTAAATCCTGATGCAGAGATTTTTGGCCCATAGGTGTGAGAGAAAGCTTCATGTCACTGAGAGTGCACAACCCAACACCCTTCTGAGAACATAAAGAAGGAAAAGGAACAAAAACAATGATTCACCTTTCTGTGCTTAAATGTCTGAGGGTAAAACCACCTACTTTGAATGTGTAACTGAAGAAAATTGCTGTTTATGAGGTGGTGGTGTGAGAAAAACTAATGATACCAAAGAGTTTGCCTTTTAGGGAGAAGAAGAGAAGGACAACAAAGACACTAAGATAGGCCATCAGAGAGCAGGAGAGGGAAGAGAGGGATGATACCAGCAGAAGAAATGCTGGTGAAAAAGTAAATAAATTAAGCAAGTGATGACATTAATATGGTACTGAATTAAAAACTAATCACGAGATCATCGAATCATATGTCAAGGACATGACAGGAAGTAGAGAGGTCATCTTGCCCCACCTCTAAATCTGATTATGTCTGTATAAGTCTTTGCTGGTATTTTACAATCTGTTTCTAAAATACTGCAGGTCTCTCAGGCCATCTGTTCCAGAGCTTACTTTGAATGTCTTTCTGCGTGACTTGCTGCCCTGGGCTTGGCACACATAGAGTTAGTTTGGTCCCCTTCTCTGGGTAGCAACCTTTTATCATAAGAACATTAACATCCTTTCCCCCTCTCCCTCCTCCCCTTCAGCCCTATCTTCTCTAGATTAACCAAACTGAGTTCTTTCCTTTCCAGGTTGGTTTTGGGGGAGCTCTTTTTGCCTTTAGGCAAAATGTTCCTCCCTGTCTTCCTTGGGGCACTGTCCAGTTGGAGTTGTGTGGAAAATGCACAGAATTCCAGATGTCTTGAAGGGATGAATAAAGTGGAGAAAGAAATATTGACCTTATTTATGACTTCTCTTCTTATATTGAGTATGGCATCTGCCTGCTTTTACAGCAACACCAAGTCTATGACTCATATTCACTTTAATCACCAGCTCCATCTCTGTGGAGCTGCTGCTTAGGCAGTTACCCAATTTGTATTTGTGTAGCTTATTACTACCCATATACCATGCTTTCCCCTTATTCTTACAGAGTTATTGGCCATTTATTTTAGGTTCTTGATGAAAATGGTCTAATGTGAGGGGTCCCTGCCCATGGCAGGGTGGTTGGAACTAGATGTTCTTAAGGTACTTTTCAACCCAAACCATTCTATAATTCTGTGATTCTATAATTGGTCAGGAAACATTCAGTTCTAATCCTGGCTTTCAAAGGGTCTGTATTTCTCTCTTCCCCCAGCTTTGATCATCCACAGCACCAATGACAGCATTGTCTATTCCTGTGTCAGGACCATTAATGGATAAATTGCCTTCTACTTGGCCTGGGGCTGGTCCATAGGTCATCTGTTTAATGAGGCCTTCAAGTCACAGACTCCAATAACTACCCTTTGAGTCCAGTTTTTCAGCAGATTTATTATGTATTTACTCTGTATTTTCTCACCTTGCTCACAAGAGCGTTTTGTGGAGCAATACCTAAGCCTTGCTGAAGTTACTGTTAACTCATTTCTCTGATGCATGGGTGCTTCTCTAAGAATGCTGTACACATGTATATCCAGTCTATGGATGTGCCTTGTAAGAGCTTGAGCTTGGGAACTTTGTCAGTATTAGCAGTATCTACTCAGGTACTCCAATCTGAGCCAAGATAAAGGATAGCATGAACTCATAAGCCCACAGGCTTTCAGTCTGGGTTCATGGAGACACTTACTAGACTGCTGTGAAGAAGAAAAGGAGAAAAGACAGGAAATTTTTACATGGATCAACATGTCCTGAAGAAGATCAGCACTTGTCATTGGTGACCACAGATAGTGCCTCAGGTATTCAATAGTGTATTGTGGTTTTTTTTTGGGTTGCTTTAAGTGAGATGGATCTCAGCACACCCTTATCCAAGGAAAGGTCATTTTCCAATCCTCTGAAAGGACACAGGGCTCTGTGAAGGCCAGAAAGGAGGTCCAAGTTAACAGATTTCGTTTTAGCCAAAGTAATGGGCAACCCTGTGTCCTTCAGCCCAGGCAGTTCACCTCAGATGAGCAGAATCAATTCCTATCAATGTGAACCAGACCTATTCAAACTTCCAGGCAAAACTTGTCTCCTGACCTAAGTGAGTCAAAAAATGGGTCCTCTGGCTATGAAATAAAGGTTATAGATTCTCTCCCCAGAGAAGATGGTCCCTTACTGACAGCATCTTTACATCCTGGGATCAGAGCTGCTGATCACAATTACAGCTGCCTTTACCTTTCAGAGTACTGGGGTTGAACAGAGGTAAGTTTCCAAACTTCCGTTAGAAGGCCCAGTTAATTTTCTGTAGAAGTCCAAGGAAACCCCAACAGAGAAGGAAAAACAGATCGTGACAGGGAGAAATGTGAAGAAGATTGGCATGGCATGCCTATCAATTTGCCACTACAGAAGAGCAGACCCTGCTATATGGAGGGGATATATTCCTGAGAAATTGGCACAGTGCAGTATTATCTGAAGAGTCAAATAACACATGCTAGCAAGACACAGGCAGACCCATACTTGAAGCGGATCCCAAGTGAGCTGTAGAGTACGTCTGTCCCTGACAGCTCAGGGAAGACAAGTCCTGACTAGAATTACGTTCAGATTTGCCCATGTGAAGTCCAGGAACTAGACTGTCTTCAGCTTTCTGACTGTTATCTGAGGAGTGATGACCCTGTAGAGGGATACCACCCCGATGAACCCAAGCAGCTGTTTTAGTTGAGATTTAGTTGACAATGGCAATGGGAATGGGGAATATGCTCCCCATTAGGACCTATTTGTCTGCATTCCCCATGTTTTAACATAGTAGGGCGCTCCCTGTCCTTAAGCTTGTACTTGGTTCTTTGAGCCCATCTTTTTTGCTCTGTGAGCATCTCTGAGAGCTGGAACACTGATGATGAGTTTCACTAGTGGCCATCTGGGGACAGGAAATCTGAAGCGGGGTTGCACTGTGCCGGTGTTAAAATTAAAGACCTCTTATCCAGTTACCATTTGGCTAACGGACAAGTCCTTGTATCATCCTAAAATGCTGACATTGACTAGGCTGGAAATGCAAAGCCCAGGGCTCTGTTAAGACACAGAACATTTCCACAGGGAGAAATTTCCGCAGACTTTCTTCTCCAGAGTCTTCTGCTACCTGCTGGTTTTGAAACCCAGGGTTAAACTCTTGACAATGCTGGAGGTTTACCTATAGCAAATAGGTTGCATGTCTAAACTCTGCGTGTCCATATAAGCCCCTGCTCTGGGTGAGGTCACCAAGTATGGACTCCAAAGAGAACTTCAAAAACCAGACCACCTCCATATGCACCAGGGCTCAGGACAAAATGGAGGCTCAGCAGCTCCAGGAGTCTAAATATCAAAGATTAAATAAAAATGCTTCTCCTGTTTTGGGGAGAGAAAAGTTCCAAGGGGGGAGAATGAATGAAAGGGGCATGTCAAGCCAACATCCATGTTGAAGATCTAAGAGTAAATCAAAGAAGGCTCCAGCCACAAATAGAGCTCCATCTAGATGTGCAAGGGGATCTGAGGCAGCATGGGCAATGAGCAAAGTACATTATGCATGGTTGTGGCCTGACAGGTCAGAGGCAGGGCATGCACTTGCTTGATCATGATTAGTCTAGAAAAGACTGTGGCCATGAAATGTGGTGCCTGTTCAGTTTGAATGGATCTGTGAAGAACAAGAGATGTGAAGTCATCTGCTTTTTTCTTATCACCAAGGTCATTTGCTGTTTGCAGAAGTAGATTAAATAACAGATACATGCTGGCTATTCCTCATCTTTATTTTGTCTATGTTCTTACTTTCATCAGTACTTATCTGAGAACTGAAGCTTAGCAGATTGATCTATAATTCCCCGAGAGCTTCTTTCCCTGCCTTTCTGAATATAAAGATGTGTATCTTTTCCAGCCCTCTGATACATCACTATCCTCCTTGAGTGTCCAAAGACAGAGACTACTGGGTCTGCAGCTGCTTCAGCTGGCTCATAGTCACTCTAGGATGAATTTCAAGCCCAGAGGATCTGAAAATCATAGAATCACAGAATCATAGAATAGTTAGGGTTAGAAAGAACCTTAAGATCATCAAGTTCCAACCCCCCTGCCATGGGCAGGGACACCTCACACTAAGCCATGCTGCCTAAGGCTCTGTCCAACCTGGCCTTGAACACAGTCAGGGATGGAGCATTCACAACTTCCCTGGGCAACCCATTCCAGTGCCTCACCACCCTAACAGGAAAGAATTTGCTCCTTATATCCAATCT